ACAGCCCTTCCTGGGGGAGTTTCCCACGTCATTGTCAGGGTTTGGGCTGGTGACGCGGCTGCAAAAGGATTCACAAGGGAGAGAAGAGACAGGAGCAGAGAGAGGGCCTTTATTTTAGGTCTTTAAGCAGCGGTTCTCAACCTGTGGGTCGCGACCCCTTTGGCAGTCCAATGACCTTTTCACAGGGGTTGCCTAATACCATATTGCATATCAGATATTTACATTACGACTCATAACAGTAGCAACATACAGTTATGAAGTAGCAACGAAAATAATTTTATGGTTGGGGTCATAACATGTGGAACTGTTATTTAAAGGGCCAGAAGGTTGAGAACCACTGCAAGGGAGGAAAGGGCCACGTGCCCTCTGATGTCACAGTGCACCTCAGATAGAGGGCGCTGTTCCTTTATTAGGGTGCTAGCGAGTAAATGGCAGCTGTGGCAAAAGCATAAAGAGGGAGGAGGAACCTGGAATTCACACAGAAGTTTCCCAGATCCCAGAGGCTGTGCTTAGAGCTATGGCTGGTCTGCCCTTCAGCTGCAGGGTCCCAGGGAGGGGTCTTTCCCAGGATCTTCACAAGCCGGGAGCACATTCTTACAGTGAAGTTACAGGGAATTCAAAAGGCGGGCAGATTGGGTTTGAAACCAGAAGCTTTCTGCCTGCGATTTGCCTGGATCCTTAAACCCTCAGTGAGGAGGGGGGAGGGGAAGGGCAGCCTGCTCTCTCAGCCCCTCCCTGTCTCCCCATCTGAAGGGAGAGGCAGCTTGAGTTAGGGAAGCAGGTGGATGGGGGTGTCAGAGACAGACCCGGATATCCATTCATGGTTAGGCACCTGATGAGGTAAGGTCCCATCCATCACAGTGGGGAACAGATTTTAATTTAGGTATTTTTCAAGGGATAAAAATTTTCTGGTTGTAAATTGTGGTCTCTGAAGTTTTTGTGTTCTGGGAATGCAGTTTTGAATGCATATTTTGACTTTAGTAGTCCCTATAACCTAGTTAATGGAACATTGATATTAATGTAGAATATCTGTTAGTTTTCCTTATATCTGGGAAACAATACAATTTTAAAATCAATAATATTTAAAACAGAGTTATAAGAATAATAACTGTTATCAGAGTACTTAGTCCCATCACCATTTTTTATTTTGGTTACTTTTCAGTATTTTCATGAATATAGGTATTCATTTGAGTTTTATAAATCTTTATTTACTTTAAAGATATGACTTGTTTAGAAACATGTAATTTAGAGTAAGCCAGAACATAGGATTATGTTTAAACTATATAAGTATTTAATTGCTTTAGGCCAATAAAATATCACCCCTTAGTATTGTCACCTGAAGCCAGGAAACACACCATATATAATAAACAGATAAACACATAAAGACAATCCATTCTACAAAGATGGTGAAAAACTTACACACTGAAAATGACACAACAATGCTAAAGAAAGCAGATACAAATAAATTGAAAGACATTCCTTAATATGTCCCAATGTCTACACAATAAATTGATGGCCTATCAAAATTCAAGACAGTTTTGGCTGAAAATTAAGCAAAACAGATTCAGGAGAGGCAAAATACTTCAAATTTGAGAAAGTTGGAAGATTCACTTTTTTACACTGGAAAAAATTTTACAAAGCAAGAGTAACTAAGTGGGTATGACCCTGGATTAACACAGATCCATACACCAATGGAACGGAGGGGAATGCCCTCACTTAAACCCTGATGAAGCCTTATGCATCAAACAGGAGCCTTCTCTGTGGCAGAGGATACAATCCACAGGGGCAAATGCAACCACCAGAAATGATGTGTTAAACATGATCTCCAGCTTTCTGACATTTCAGTGGATTTCCTCCTTAAAATTGATAGTGGAATGAAACACCATCTGGCAGTGATGTCTGCTTGTCCACATCCCTCTCCATTCCCAATGGTGAAGTTTGGAAGTCAGTGACTCACACATTTAGCTTCAAATCTGTAATAATAAAAGGGTAATATGCCAATTGGACCAGACATCCTTCCGCACAAAGCCAGGGCTGTGAGGAAAGCAGGAGTCTGGGTGCCTGCCAGCAGAGGGCAGAAAGCCCAGGTCCCGGGTGCCAGAGGGAAGATGGTACTGGTGGCCGGGGAAACGAAGGCCTACTCCTGCACGAATTGGTACATCAGGCCTCTAGTATATTATAAAAGCAGTAAGAAAGCCCTAGCTAGTTTGGCTCAGTGGATAAAGCGTCGGCCTGCGGACTGAAGGGTCCCAGGTTTGATTCTGGTCAAGGGCATATACCTTGGTTGCGGGCACATCCCCAGCAGGGGCTGTGCAGGAGGGAGCTGGTCTATGTTTCTAACTACCCCTCTCCTTTCCTCTCTGTAAAAAATCAATAAAATATATTTTTTAAAAAGCAGTAAGAAAAATATCCACGTGTGTTGGAAACTAACAGTTGAAAAGGGTTATGTCAAGAGCTAATTTGCCCCTCCATTCCCCAGCCATGCAGGCTGATGTTGGTAGTGAGGCTGAAGCAACTCTGCAGGAACTGGGATCTCAGTGAGGGGCTGGAGGTGGGGAGGGGCTTGAACACAGGAACATGACTAAAATTGAAATTCATGTAAGCACTATCATTAAATAAAAAATTGCAATGGTCTGTGTGAGGCTGAAGAACTAGAAAGTGAAACCACAACTCTCCCTGGGTAGATGGGCAATTTCATACACCAGCAGCCTTTCCTGTTTCCTGCTCCCTTCCTCAATCCCCAGGAAACCAAGACTCAACATGGCTGAGTTCCAGAGTCTTACAGAGGGACTCAACCTGGGATATGAGACTTGGATGACTAAGACATGTGATCATTTAGGACATTAGTATTCCTTAAAAATAAACCTTTTAAAGAACATTGTTATAAACTAAAACAAATGTTGTGTCCAACACTTGAATTACCTTAAATACTGTTTTTTCACTACACACCTTTTATTATTCCATCAAGCATTTGAATATAACACTTAATCCAAAATAAACACATCAAAAATAAACACTGCCCATTTACCTCAGAAAAAGACATTGAACTATCCTTTCTTTTTTTGTTAAATATATTTTATTGATTTTTTTATAGAGAGGAAGGGAAAGGGATAGAGAGCCAGAAACATTGATGAGAGAGAAACATCGATCAGCTGCCTCCTGCACACCCCCGACTGGGGATGTGCTCGCAACCAAGGTACATGCCCTTGACCGGAATCGACCCGGGACCCTTCAGTCCGCAGGCCGACGCTCCATCCACTGAGCCAAACCAGTCAGGGCTGAACTATCCTTTCTTGATAATATTATCCAAATAAAATGTCAAGAATACGTACAGACAGATTATTCTATGTCCTCCTTTTATAAAGACCCCACTCTTGGACCTCATATAGCCTCAAAGACCTCCCAAAACCCCCATATTTCCAATATGTCTGGAAATACAGATCTATTGGGGGTTAGGGTTTCAATATATCCATTTTGAGGGGACACAATTTAGTCCTTAAGAGCGCTTCAATTTCATTATCTGTTATATAAAACCACCCCAAAATGATTCTCTTAATGCAACAATACTTCAGTATTTCTTATGAATCTATGGGTTGGCCAGGTGGTTGCTCTGCTTCATGTGCTACTGGCAGAAGTTTTTTCCCTAGATCTAAACATGATTTCCAGAAACAAAACAAAAAAACAGGATTTCTGTGCTTCCAGACTGCCATCCTAGTTGCTTCGCTTGCAGCGTCCACAGTCTCCATCCAGCCAAGTCACATGTGTTAGGTTTTTATTACTGAGCACCTCAATCTCAGGAAGTCTTTTCTCTTACAACTAGTCTTTGTTGTGGAATAAAACACCACCAAGTTTAGTGGCTTAAATCAAGCAAAATTCATCATTGCACGTAGCTCCGGGGTGGCTGAGCCCTTCTGCACTGTTTTCACTTAGGCTCCTACACACAGTTGCCTCCAGCTGGCAGAACAGCTCTCTGGTGCAGCAGAAAGCTGGGAAATGCCTTGCTTTGAAGATATTTTTAAAGTTTGTGTTTTTTTTAAAACTGAATTTAGAGAGGGAGAGATGGAAACATCCATGTTCAAACAAACATCCATTGGTTGCTTCCCGAAAGCGCCGTAAGGAGATCTAGAATCACTCCCCCAATCTGGGCATTTGTAGGAGCAGGAATCAAAGCTGCAACCTTTTGGTGGAGGGCATTACATGCAGACAAATGAGCCAAAGGGGACAGGGTTAGAAATACCTTTGAGATAAACTTCTTCACATGGTGATATGTTTATGTCAGTCATATCTCATATAATGTACCTTCAAATTTATTTTAAGTCCCTTCAAAGAGAATCTACAGCTCAGCAGGTGTGGCTCAGTGGATTACAGTGTCGTCCTCCCCACAATCACAGATTTCATTCCCAGTCAGGTCTAGTACCTCGGTGGAAGGTTTCATCTCCAGCCCGCCCTTTGTGTCTGAGGGAGGCACCAATTGATGTGTCTCTCATATCAATGTTTCTCTGTCTCTCTGCCCACTATGGAAATAATATCCTTGGGCAAGGATTTTTAAAAAGGAGCAACTACATTTATTTCTTTGAATATTTTATTTATTTCTTTGAATATTTTATTGATTTCAGAGAGGAAGGGAGAAAGAAACGTCAATGATGAGAGAGAATCAATGTTCCACTGACTGGGGATTGAAGGGGAAACCTGGGCATGATCCCTGACCAGGAATCTAACCACTAAGCAACACAGGCTGGGCCAGAACGTTTAGTTCTTATATTATTAGAGGCCTGGTGCACTGGTGGGATCCCTCTTCCACTTGGCCTGCGGGGATCGGGCCCAAACTGACTCTCCTGCATCTCCCAAGGGGCTCCGAATTGTGAGAGGATGCAGGCCAGGCCATGGGACCCCACCAGTGCACAATTGGGGTCAGGGAGGTACCACGGGAGGGTTCCATGGGGTGTCTGGCCTGTTTTGCCCAGTCCCCATAGGCCAGACACCCACACCAAGCTAACCTACTGGTAGGAGCATCTGCCCCCTGGTGGTCAATGCACATCATAGTGACCAGTCGGTCGAATGAATGGTCCGACACTTAGCGTATAAGACTTTTATTATATAAGATTATAACCTATTTGGCCACTTCATCAGTTCCGAATCCCCCATTTCTTATTTTCTAGTTCTGAGTGATCTGTTATGTATGGATAACAAACCTACCAAATATACACACTGAAGAAGACACTGGGATATATTTTTAGCTCAACAATCATTAAATCTGGCCTTAGCTGGTGTCACTAGTGGATACAGCATTGGCTCATGGACTGACAGTCCTGGCTTAGATTGTGGTAAAGGGGACGTACCTACCTTGCAGGGTGGATCACTGGCCCTTGCAGGAGCTACCAATGGATGTGTCTCTCTCACAAAGAAGTTTCTCTGTCTGTTCCACTTCCTTTCACTCTCTCTAAAATTCAATGGAAAAATAGCCTCAGGTGAGGATTCACAACAAAAAAATTCATTAATTTTGTCCTGGCCAACGAGTAACTGTTGGTTGGAACCTCATCCCATTGTGCCAGGCTTGCGGGTTCAAGCCCAGACTGGGGCACATTTAGGGTCAAAAATAAACAACAAAATCATTAATTCTGCAACATTTTGTGTGGTGGCACATTCTCTGTAATGTAGGCCTAAAACCATTGATCAAATACCCAATAATTACATCTCCCTCTATACCCAAAACAATTTTTACTACAATATGTGTTAGTGAACAACTAATATAGAGTATGTTTCATTGAAAAAGATTTCATCTATAAACAAACAGCAGGACATTCTCTGCCTAGTGAGTAGACATGAGTGGGAGTAAGCTGAGTCCTGGGATATCGGCTTATTTTATTTATATTTCTTGTCCAAAACATTAAATCTATCTCAGCATAAGCATACAATTATTTAAAATAATGAAATTTGCCCAGACGGCGTGGCTCAGTGGTTGAGCATCGAACCAAGAACCAGGAGGTCAGGTTTCCATTCCTGGTCAGGGCGCATGCCCTGGTGGGAGGCTCCATACCCAGTGTGGGCTATGCAGGAAGCAGGGGATCCATGATTTCTCTTTCACCATTTGTATTTCTATCTCTTCCTCTCCCTTCCTCTCTGAAATCAATAAAAAAATGCTTTCAATGTAAACATCTAATCTAATAAAAGAAAAACATGCAAATTGACTGTACCTCTGCTACACCCAAGCCACGCCCACCAGCGAATCAGAGCAAATTAACGCAACCAAGATGGCGGCCAGCAGCCATGGAGCTGGAGCAAGCAGGAGGCTTGGTTGCCCCAGCGATGGAAGAAGCCAAGCTTCCCGCCTGCCCTGGCCTCCACACAGCCGTGTGGCCTCCGCTCAAGGCAACAAAGTTTCAATAGTAGAAGACAAATAAATACCAGATACCTGCTTCCAGCCAGCCTACACTGGGAGCTTGAGTGGCTGGGGGCTGTGACCAGCCTGCAAACAGCCTTCAGCCCCTCATCCAGGATAGCCACACCCTCATGGGGTGAGAGTCGACCCTGGGGGGCTTAACCAGCCTGCAAACAGCCATCAGCCCCTCACCCAGACTGGCCAGGCACCCCAGCAGGACCCCCACCCTGAAGGGGGTGTGGCCAGCCTGAAAACGGCCCTCAGCCCCTCACCCAGGCACACATGGGTGACGGTGCGCTGGGGGACATTCACACACAAGCAGGGGGAAGGGGGAAGATGATGTGTGCACAGGAGGCGTGTGCCTGTGCAGGTCCGCAAACCCACGCAGCATGGCCAGGACGATGTGAAGCTGGCCTGCCACAGTGAATGTCCCTGCAATTGCGTACCTTGGGGGCCAGGAGGCTGCACGGGGATGAGCCAGCGGCGATGGGGAGGGCGAGGGCGGCCTGCTGAGAGGGCTCCACAGATGATCAGCACGCCTTCAGTCACAGGGGCCGCTGCCACTGCAGCTGCCTCGTCGTCAGTGGGCCCTGTGCCACCTCTGTGGCTGGGGTCCTCCCAGGCCCTCGGTGTGCAGGAAGCCAGGCTGCCCACCCAATGTCTGCGGTGCCACCCGCCTCCTCTGTGGCCAGTTCTCTCCGAGGGCAGGATCTTCCCACAGGCCTCACCACAAACAGCTTGGGGAGGGCGCCTCAGGTTCGGTGGGGGTGTGGCGTGGAGGTGGTGCCTGTGCTTCAGTTAACTGACACAATGTGTTTTATACCATAGCATGTGGCGATGGCTGTGAGAGGTGCCAAGAGGAGCCTGTGGGCTGAGCTGAAGCAGCGCCTGCGGGCCATCAGGAGCACTCACAGCTGCCACCACTGGGCCTCACCTCCCCCGCCCGTCCCAGCCCTGGGCAAGTGGCAGCGGCCATTGGGACCACTCACAGCTGCCGTCATCATGATTTAGACAGGAAAAGAGAGAGAATAATAGGAATACCACTGATCAGAGGGAATCATGGAACACCTGGCTCCTGCATGCCCCACACTGGAGATTGAGTCCCCAACCAGGGTCTGTGCCCTGACCAGGAATTGCACCCTGACCTTGCGGTTCATAGGTCAAAGCTAAACCACCGAGGAATGCCAGCCAGCGCTTTCTCACATTTTCTACAGTGTAAGGTTTCCTCCACTATAAATGTCTCTGTTATTCAGTAAATTTTGAGTGCTTGCACATGCTCTAAATTAGTAAGGTCTCTCTTTAGTATGAAAGTCTCTCATATACAATAATACAAAAATGCCTTTTAAAGACTTTTCTACACTTTTCACATTCAGAAAGCTTCTTCCCATTTAAAATTCTGTGATGTTCAGCAAGTTCTCACTGCTGGTAAAGGATTTATTACTCTCCTCACATCTTTAATATTTCTCTCCAGTATGGACTCTCTGATGTGCCAAGAGGTTTGAAACGTTGCCAAACGATTTGCCACATTTTCCACACATATAAGGCTTCTCTCCAGTATGAACTCTTTGATGGTAAATAAGGGCTGAGGAATGCCTGTAGGCTTTGCCACACTCTCCACATTTATAAGGCTTCTCTCCAGTGTGAACTCTCTGATGCGTGGTAAGGTTTGAGGACCAGCTAAAGGCTTTGCCACATTCTCTACATTTATAAGGCTTCTCACCAGTATGAATTCTCTGATGTGCAGTAAGAATTGAGGCCCGGCTAAAGACTTTGCCACATTGTCTACATTCATGATTCTTCTCTCCAGTATGAGTTTTCTGATGGTCAGTAAGAGTTTGGGATTGCCAGAAGGCTTTGCCACATTCGAGACATTTATAAGGCCTCTCTCCAGTATGAACTCTGTGATGATAACTAAGGGATGAAGACTGCCTAAAGGCTTTGCCACATTCTTTACATTTATAAAGCTTCTCTCCAGTATGAACCCTATGATGTCTAATAAGGGAAGATGAATCGCTAAAGGCTTTGCCACATTCTATACACTTGTAAGGTTTCTCTCCAGTATGAACTTTCTGATGTCGAATCACGTTTGAGGCATGGAGGAATGCTTTACCACATTCTCTACATTTATAAGGTTTATGTTCAGTATGAACATCTTGATGATTAGTAAGACCTGCATGGCTGGTAAAGGATTTGCCATATTCTTTACATTTATAAGGTTTCTCTCCAGTGTGAATTTTCTGATGATTACTAAGGGTTGAGGGCCAGCTAAAGGCTTGGTCACATTCTCTACATTTATACACCTTCTCTCCAGTATGAACTCTCTGATGTCGATTAAGGGTTGCGGACTCACTGAACGCTTTGCCACATTCTGTACATTTATAAGGCTTCTCTCCAGTATGAACACTCTGATGACGATTAAGGGAGGATGACTGGTTAAAGGCTTTGCCACATTCTATACATTTGTAAGGTTTCTCTCCAGTGTGAACTTTCTGATGTCGAATCATGTTTGAGATGTGGAGGAATCCTTTACCACATTCTCTACATTTATAAGGCTTATCTTCAGTATGAACACTGTGATGATTACTAAGAATTGCATGGCTGTTAAAGAATTTGTCACATTCTCTATACTTATAAGGGTTCTCTCCAGTGTGAATTCTCAGATGAATATTAAGGGTTGAGGGCCGGCTAAAGACTTTGCCACACTCTGAACATTTATGAGACTTTTCTTCTGTATGAATTCTATGATGTTGATTATGTCTTGAGGACTGACTAAAGCCTTTTCCATTTTCCCCCAGTTTGTGAAATTTTGCTATAGTATGACTTCCTTCCTTATGTACAATAAGAGATGAATGACATTTAAAGGCTTTGCCACATGCTTTACATTTGTAACTCTTCTCTGCAGTGTGAATTTTCTGATTTAGAGTAAAACTTGAAGGCCAATTAGATGTTTTACCAGAATCTTTACATTGATAAGGTTTTTCTCCACTATGGATTTTTTCCATTATATTTAGATTGAATATTTGACTGAAGACTCTCCCACATGGATTCCATTTGTAAGCCTCCTCCCCAGAATGAATATTCTCCTGTTCAACATAATTTGAAGACTGCTGAAAAGACTGGACACATTTACTTCCATTGTGTGTCTTCTCCACAATAGGAATAACCTGATGTATATTGTGATTGGACATTTGGTCAAACACATTTCCACTTTTATAATGGCCCTCTGCAAGCTCACTTCTCCAATGATTAAAATATGACTTTTGCTTAAACTTTTTCCAATGTTCAATCCATTGATAGCTGCTATTTCCATTATGTGTATGCTGGTAATAATGGGAGATAGAAAGACGTTTAGTAACAGTTATAATTTCATTAAACATGTACATTGGTTCATAAGAACCATCCTGTGATATTCATTAAACAAAGATGGTTCTATAGAAAAAGCTTTCCTAATTTATCAAAATTATAGACAAAAAATAAATACTAGTACAAAACATTGTCAGAGGAAGAAGAATGAATACTTGTTTAAAAGACTGCCAAACTGCCCAGCCAGCATGGCTCAGTGGTTGAGCTTCAATGAATGAACAAGTAGGTCTGGTTCTGTTCCAGTTCAGGGCACATGCCCCGGTTCCAGGACCAGTCCACAGTGGGAGGCATGGAGGAGGCAGCCAATGAATGATTCTCTCATCACTGATGTTTTCCTCTCTCTTTTCCTCTCCCTTACTCTCTAAAATCAATAAAAATATATTTTTTAAATAAAAAATATCATAAAAGATTGCTAAATTGAACACATTTTAATTTTATGGATACAGAATAAATCTATACATTTTAGAAGTGATTGAAGGAAAATTTAATACCACCCTATACTTTAAACAATTCAAATGATTATTTACACTACAGACTATGTGAATTCCTAGTTTATCCCGATTCCCTTTCCAAGAATGCATAACAGTTAATGTTGTTTTTGACCTTCACGTGCAGAAACACACTGATTTTCCAATGTAACTGACTTTAAATTGGGAGGTTCCCCTAATGCGTAATACACTTGACCTCTATAGGTAACAAGAAATTTATTGATAACTTGCAGATTAGTTCTGTTTATATTAAAATCCTCCCTTCTCATCCTACTCTTTCTGAAATTCCCAAGGCTTTCATTAAGTGTACATTATCAAAACCACACCTTTTATATCTTACCAGTATTATTTCAGAGAATAAATCTTGTATTCCGGGCTTAGGCATAAAGGCCTGGTCATCTTCAGATGACATAGCTGAAAGAAAACAAATTTTCAGTTTTGACAATCAGGTGAGTGCACTTTGAAGTTAACAGCAAGTATTGACCAAATGACAATTTTGAGTACTCCAAGAGTCAGTGAAGGGTTCAAAGAAAGCTCAATAAGGTACAATGAAGAAAACTCACATCAAAGAGGAAGAAAGAGTTGCTTACATTTGCCAATGATACCTGCTCAAACCCCCTGGCACACAACGACAATATTATAAAAACACTCCCAATTCCCAGTTTCTTCGCTGCAAAGAGAGAGAGGAGTGAAGTGGGTGCTCAGTGATCTCCCTGTTTTGAAGCATCGTGAAGAACATGTGTCTGTTGTTCATGACACAGAGTGCGAACAGAATGGCAGTATATGTGAGTGACCTGCAGTGGCTGCTACAAAGAAACAATGAGAAAGTGTTCAAGCACCACAAAGACTACAGGACTAAAGATGTATATCAAGTCTGAAAAGATACCGTGGGCCTGAGAAAGAAACAGAGAATAATTCAACTGGGAAATTAAACAGACAATAGAATCTACAATACAGATCCTGAAAACAGTGTTGACTGAAAGTAGGATTTGTTCCACTGATGGTTATTATTGTTTCCTCCTATAGAAAGCATGTTCAAAAGCCTGCTTGTTTACAATTCTGGAATCTCAACAAATGATATCAAGTCATGCAAAGAAACAAAAAGTATACTGTCAGAAACACAAAATAAAAGTAATCAGACGTGCACTACATTAATGGGAATATATTAATTACCTGAAAAAGAATAGAACTAAATATCTTAAAGCTAAAAAGGAGAAATAAAATGACAATAATATCACTAAAATATTATGTAAAGTAAAAATACAATGAGAAAGTATTTTATAAACACCACACCAAATTAAAAAATACAATAGAATCATTAATGAAAGACGTGTTTAACTTAAAACATCAAAGAATTTGCCTGGAAGCGGTGCCTCAGTGGTTGAGCTTCAATCTATGAACCAGGTGGTCACACTTTAGTTCCAGGTCAGGGCACAGGCCTTGGTTGAAGGCTCAATCCCCCATCATTCAGGAGGCAGCTGATCAATTACGCTTTCTCTTCATTGATGTTTCTCTCTTTCTCCCTCTCCCTTCCTGTCTTAAATCAATAAAGATACATTTAAAAAATAATAATTAAATGATGAATTTGTACATAAATCATTAAAATTTTGATTCTGAAAAGCCAATAAACATATGGAAATATGAAGAGAATTTAAGGAACTCCTAAGACACTAACAAGGCATTTCCCCAAACCTGAATAGGAAACTGATTGTGGCTGCCAGACAGTTAAAGGGCATCTTAATCTACATGTTATTGCCTCCTACTGGCCAAACACCTGAAGAGCCGTAGGCTATTCCCCCATTCTGACAATGGACTCTGTACCCTTTGAAACCTTACCCTTTGAAGTGTATTACCTCCACCTTGCCTTAGGACAAATTGTGTTAATAAAAGCAAGGGTCCTAGACAAGGAGGCTCTCTTCAGTTCCTTTAGCTGAAGGTCCTCTGACCCCAATGTCTTTCAACTCGTCTCCGGACTCTTTATTAGTCTCTGGATTTCTATGTCATCTACGTGCAGCCCCTTTTCCAGATTCCTGAACCTTTCTTGATGCTGGGACATGAACCCCAGCAGAAATCAATAAGTTGGAAAACACATTCCATGAGTCTACTTTGCAACGCTAACAGTATCAGCTGCCATTAGTACACAAAGTGATCTAAACCTTCAAAGTAATCCCTATCAAAGTCTCAGTGACACTTTTGGTGGAAATAGAAAAGCTCTTTCTAAAAGTAATGTGAATGTCACAGGACTCCATGTAACAAAAGAATTGTGAAAAGAATGTATGGCAAGCCCTAACTGGTTTGGCTCAGTGGATAGAGAGTCAGCCTACGGACTGAAGGGGTCCAAGTTCGATTCCAGTCAAGGGCACATGTCCAGGTTGTGGGCTCGATCCCCAGTGGGGGGTGTGCAGGAGGCAGCCGATCAATGATTCTCTCTCATCATTGATGTTTCTCTCTCTCTCTCCCTCTCTCTTCCTGTCTGAAATCAATAAAAATTTATTTAAAAAAAAAAGAATGTATGGCCTTAGACAGTTTGGCTTAGTGCCGTGGTCGGCAAACCGCGGCTTGCGAGCCACATGTGGCTCTTTGGCCCCTTGAGTGTGGCTCTTCCACAAAATACCACATGTGGGCGCGCACGTACAGTGCAATTGAAACTTCGTGGCCCATGAGCATAAGTGGGTATTTTGTGGAAGAGCCGGTATTTTGGGGCCAAAGAGCCGCATGTGGCTCGAGAGCCGCATGTGGCTCGAGAGCCGCAGTTTGCCGACCACTGGAGTGGACATAGCATTGCCCTGCAGACTGAAGGTCCCAGGTTTGCATCTGGTCAAGGGCGCAGGTGGAGGTTGTGGGCTCCGTCCCCAGTGTGGGGTGCGCAGGAGGCAGCCTATCAATGGTTCTCTCTCATCATTGATGTTTCTATCTCCCTCTCCCTTCTCTCTGAAATCCATAAAAATATATTTAAAAAAATAAAAAAGAATGTATGAAATTGAAGGCTTCAGGCTTCCTAATATTAAAACATACTTCAAAACTTCTGCTATCAAAAAAACTATAATACAGCCCTACCAAGTTTGGCTCAGTGGATAGAGCACCGTTCTGTGAACTGAAAGGTCCTGGGTTCAATTCCTCTCAAGGGCACAGGCCAGGGTTGTGGGCTTGATCCCCAGTAGGGGACGTGCAAGAGGCAGCTTATCAATGATTCTCTCTTATCATTGATGCTTCTAACTATCTGTCCTTCTCCATTTCTCTCTCAAATCAATAAAAAATAAAAATATTATAAACACTCAAACAAAAATCTGTGATACAAACATTAAGGCAGAGGGAAATAATGAAGCAAGGTAGAATAAAAGGCCGACATAGAAATCCCCGTGGATAGCGTCTAAAGATCTTCACCAAGGGAGCCTAACCCACAGACAGAAAAGGACATTCTCACCATGCCCAAGGAGCCCAGTTGTTTAGAGTGTGGTCTTCATACCAAAACACTGTAGATTTGATCTGTGCTCAGGGCACAGTAAAAACTCATCAATGAATGCATAACTAAGTGGGGAAATGAATGAATATCTCAAAGTCTCTCTCTCTCTCATTCCCCTCCTCCCGCAAGTTGCTCTCTTCCTCTAAAATCAATAAAAATAAAGTACAAAGTAGTGCTGGCTGTCATTAAATAAGAACTCAATAAATGAACTACACAAGCAATGACCTTAAATTGGAATGCTAACAGTATAAGCTATCACGAGTACCCAAGGTTGACATAAACATTCAAAGCCGTCACTATCCACGTCCCAATGACACTTTTCACAAAATTAGCAAACCTCATCCTAAAATTAATGACACAGGACACCAGGGAACCAAAACAAACATGGAAGAGACAGTAAAACCTTAAAGGCATCATGCTTCCTGATTTAAAAAAATATTTTAAAACTGGTGTGATCCAAAAGTACCATCTACACATTAAGACACAGGTAAATAGAGGGGCACGGTAGGCCAGTGTGGATCTGGGTTAGAGTATCATTCTGTGCACTTAAGGGTGGCGGGTTCAATTCCCCTTCAAGGGCACATACCTCGGTTACAAATTCCCACCCCACTTGCGTTGAAGTAGGGACAGAAGGGGGCCAGCTGACATGTCTCTCTCACATCGATGTTTCCCTCTCTGTCCTCTGTCCTTACTCCCACCCTTCCACTCTCTGTGAAAAGCCAATGGAAAAAATGTCCTCATGTGAGGATTAACAACTACAAAAAAGAAGCACTGTAGGATAAGAGCCTACTTACAGCTTCTCACGCATGAGGTAAAATAATCTTCCACAAGGGTACCTACACCACGAAAGGATATTCTCACATATGTGAATAGTGTTGAGATACTCAGATGTCTACGTGTAAAAGAATGAGTGAAGCCGAGGCCGGTTTGGCTCAGTGGATGGAGCGTCGGCCTGCGAAATGAGGGGTCCCGGGTTCGATTCCGGTCAGGGGCATATGCCTGGGTTGCGGGCGCGTTCCCGGTGGGGGGTGTGCAGGAGGCAGCTGATCGATGTTCCTCTCTCATCGATGTTTCTGGCTCTCTGTCCCTCTCCCTTCCTCTCTGTGGAAGATCAGTGAAATATATTTAAAAAAGAAAAAATGAGTGAAGTTGGGCTGTTATTAAACACCACATACAAATATTAAACCAAAATGGATAAAAGATTGAAACATAAAGCTAATAATAACTCAATCTATTAAATGACGAATTACAGAAAAGATTTTGTTTTTCTTTTAAATACATTTTTATTGCTTTCAGAGAGGAAGGGAGAGGGAGAGATAGACAGAAACATTAAGAGAGATTCATTGATTGGCTGTCTCCTGCATGGCCCCTACTGGTGGTCGAGCCTGCAACTTGGCCTTGTGCTCTTGACTGGAATCGAACCCTGGACCCTTTTGTCCACAGGTTGACACTCTACCCACTGAGCCAATCTGGCTAGGCCCGTGGTTGGCAAACTGCGGCTCTCGAGCCACATGCGGCTCTTTGGCCCCTTGAGTGTGGCTCTTCCTAAGCCTTAGGAGTACCCTAATTAAGTTAATAAAAATGTACCTACCTATGTAGTTTAAGTTTAAAAAATTTTGGCTCTCAAAAGAAATTTCAATCATTGTACTGTTGATACTTAGCTCTGTTGACTAATGAGTTTGCCGACCACTGGGCCCTAGGCCATATAGAAAAGTTTCTATGACATTTGATTTTTTATTATAGTACTAAGAGGAAAGGTAAAGAAAACAAAATAGTCAAAAGGCATTACACCCCATATAAATATAACTTCCAATAAAGCAAATCGTCAGTGCGTTCAAAATACAAGCTGTGGCATGGGAAAATATTTCTACGAAGCATACCATCTGATAAGTAGTTAATATCCAGAATATATAACGACCTTTTAAAAATCAACATGAAAAAAGAAGTAACAAAACTTTTAAAATGTCCAAATCTAACCGTAGCCAGTTTGCCTCAGTGGATAGAGCGTCGGCATGCGAACTGAAGGGTCCCAGGTTTGATTACACTCAAGGGCACATGCACAGGTTGCGGGCTTGATCCCCAGTAGGGGGCATGCAGGAGGCAGCCAATCAATTATTCTCTCTCAACATTGATGTTTCTATCTCTCTTTTTTTTTTTTTTAATTTTTTACAGAGAGGAAGGGAGAGGGATAGAGAGTTAGAAACATTCATGAGAGAGAAACATCGGTCAGCTGCCTCCTGCACACTACCCACTGGGATGTGCCCGCAACTAAGGTACATGCCCTTGACTGGAATTGAACCCGGGACCCTTGAGTCCGCAGGCCGACGCTCTATCCATTGAGCCAAACCGGTCAGGGCGATGTTTCTATCTCTTTCTCCTTCTCCCTTCCTCTCTGAAATCAATCAAAAATGTATTTTTTTAAAAAATGTCAAAAGCTATATGGTTAACTAATCTATAAGATAGAAGGCAAGAATACACAATAGGTAAAGACAGATTCTTCACCAAGTAGTGCTAGAAAAACGGAACAGATACATGCAAAAACAATAAAACTAGACCCCATTCATAGGCCATGAACCAAAATGAACTCAGCATGGATGAACAACTAATATAGAAGACCTGAAACCATGCAAACACTGGAAAAAAACAGTCAATGAACTTTACCATCACTCTTAAAAATTCTGGTTTGCATATATCTTCTAGACATAACAAAGAAGCTAAAAATAAAGAAATGAGACTACTAAAGAATAAGTTTGGCATACCAAAAGAAACCACAAAATAACAATCACCACAAAAACCCAGCAATGTTACATCCTCAAAAGCTAAAGATCCAAAATATACAAGGAACTCACACAACTTAACACCAAAAGGACAAACAACATGATTGAAAAATGGGTAGGGAACTTGAATAGACATTTCCCAAACAGGACATAAAGATGCACAATAAACATACTGGTATTAAATGATGTTCAACTCATTCATCATCAGAGAAATGCAAATGGACACCACCACGAAATACTACCAAACACCTAACAAGATGCCAGTTATCCATAAATCAAAAAACGACAAGCATCACCAATGAAGTGGAGAAATGAGAACATTCGTGCACTGTCAGCAAGATTATAAACACACTAGAGGCCCACTGCACGAATTCTTGCACAGGAGGGGTCTCTCGGACTGGCTGGCGATTGGGGCCGATCAGTCAGTGGAAAGGCCCACAGTAGATTGGCCAGCCAAGGCCAGTTGGCTGTGGAAGTGCACTGACCACCAGGCAGGCCAGGGGGAGGGACCACGGGAGGTTGGCCAGCAGCGGGAGGTTGGCTGTGGAAGTGCACTGACTACCAGGGGTCAGCTCCTGCTTTGAGCATCTGCCCCCTGGGGGTCAGTGCATCATCATAGCGACTGTTCGTTGGGTCATGCGGTCAGGGTGTAACAGTCACTTAGGCTTTTAGATATATATAGATACATGCAGCCACTCACAAAACACGATGGAGAATTTTCCAATATTCATAAACAAGTACCAGTTAACACAGTAATTCCATTTCTGGCAATTTATACAGAGAACATGAATTCAAAAAGATATACCCACCCATATATCCATTGCAGCACTATTTGCAATAGTGAACATAACAGACTGGAAAAAAAACGACTATTTTTATAATGATGCTCTATCATTTGAAATAAAAGATTTCATTTGATTTGACATGTAAGGTGATAAAACTTATAACTCAGCTCCTTACTATTAAATCAAAGAGTTAAGCCTTTTATCTACACAAAAGCCTACAAGGAGCTATTTATTCATAATTCATAAAAACTAGAAGCAATGCAGAGGTCCATCAACAAGTGAATGGATAAATATACTAAAGGACACACAATGCAGTCTTATTCACTACTGTAAAGAAATAATACATCAAGCCATGGAAAGACATGATAGAAGCCTAGGTACATAGAATTGAGTGAAAGAATCCAATCTGCCTGCACAGGTAGCCCAGTTGCTTAGAGGATTGTACCGATATACCAAAACTATAGGTTTGATCTCTGGTCAGGGCACATACAAAAAAATCAATTAATGCCCAGCTGAAGTTTCTCTCTCCCTCTAACTCTCCCTTCCTCCCTGAAATAAACAAAATCTTAAAAATTAAAAAATAAAGGAAAATGGAGTGTGAATTTTAATAGAGGCTTTCCCATTTACAATCCAGGTTGTCCTCTGGCCAGAAGACATGGCAGAATATTAGAATATTCTAGAAAATTATTATCCAGAATATCATTTTCTGATAGTACCTTAATTACTCTAGACAACACATAATGTGTGCAAATACTGAATTCCAAATTCACAGACATCACAAAGCCTTTTACTACACCAAAGAATCCCCAATTTGTTCCTTGTTAAAAAAAAAAAACACAAATATTTTTATTGTTTTCAGAGAGGAAGAGAGAGGGAGAGATAGAGCCATCACTGATAAGAGAGAATCATTGACCCCTGACTGGTTTGGCTCAGTGGATAGAGCATCGGTCTGTGGACTGAAGGATCCCAGGTTCCATTCCGGTCAAGGGCATGTACCTGGGTTGTGGGCACATCCCCAGTAGTGGGTGTGCAGGAGGCAGCTGATTGATGTTTCTCATCGATGTTTCTAACTCTCTATCCCTCTCCCTTCCTCTCTGGAAAAATCAATAAAATATATTAAAAAAGAAAATCATTGATATGTTGCCTCCTGCGCCCCCTACTGTGGAGTGAGCCGGCAACCCTGGCATTAGCCCTTGACCAGAATCAAACCTGGACTTTTCAGTCTGCAGGCCACTGAGCCTATCCACTGAGCCAAATCAGCTAGGGTGCAATTTGTTCCTTGAGAGCAAGAATTTACCATAGAAAGCGGAAGCCCTTAGAGATGATAAAATTAAAGAAACAAAACCCTAGGGGTAGAGTAGGAAGTCAGGAAGGAAGTCATCCTCACCCAGGGAGGCCAAGTTGCTGTAGTTCTCCAACATCACATCCAGGTACAATTTCCGCTGAGCTGGGTCCAGGCATTCCCACTCCTCCTGAGAGAAATCTATGGCCACATCCCTGAAGGTCAATGGTCCCTGAAAAAAAAAGACACATTTACCAAGAGGTCACCAGAAGAGTTCACAATGTTAGACAACAAAAAAACAGTGTCAGAAGAGGTTTAGACCTAGGGGGTATTCTGAATTATCCAGTAAGATCACTATGCCCCAATAACATTCTCTGATGTGTTTTCTAACACTGACACATGAGGATGACACGTCCCCACAAATCCACAGTATAGATTTTAGTTTGATCTGTCACAGAAGGTGTGTTTATAGTAGTTAAAAGTCACTAATTAAAGGTAAGAAATGCTTCCTGACCTGGGGAAGCTGCATGAAATGAATGCAGAGAAGGCTCTGGGACAAAGGAGAGAATTATAGCCCGGCCAGTGTGGCTGAGAGGTAGAGTGCTGACCTATGAACCAGGAGGGCAGGGTTGGATTCCTAGTCAGGACATACTGCAGGTTTCAGACTGGATCCCCAGTGGGGGGTGTGCAGGAGGTCACTGATCAATGATTCTCTCTCCTGATTGAGTTTCTACCTCTCTTTCCCTCTCCTTTCGATTCTAAATTCAATAAAAAAATATTTTTCAACAGAGAGGGGTAAAAAAGTGAGAGAGAGAGAACAATAACTGCTGACACTGACTATGATAAAAAAAAAAAAGTGATGAGGCCTAGCCAGTTTGTTTCAGTGGATAGAGCTTCGGCCTGCAGACTGAAGGGTCCCAGGTTCGATTCCGGTCATGGGCACATGACTGGTTTGCGGGCTCAATCCTCAGTGGGGGGCACACAGTAGGCAGCCAATTAATGATTCTCTCTCATCATTGATCTTTCTCCCTCTATGTCTTCCTTCTGCTCTAAAATAAATTTAAAAAATATATATATATTTTTAAATATATTTTATTGATTTTTTTACAGAGAAGAAGGGAGAGGGATACAGAGCCAGAAACATTGATTAGAGAGATCGATCAGCTGCCTCATGCACGCCCCGCAGTGGGGATGTGCCCGCAACCAAGGCACATGCCCCTGACCAGAATCGAAGCTGGGACCCCTGAGTCCGCATGCCGATGCTCTATCCACTGAGCCAAACCGGTTCGGCAATAAAAACATATTTTTAAAAAATAATGACATAAGGAAAAACAACCTGCAAGGACAAGAACAATACCCTTTGAGTATTTCTCTACTTCTCACCAGAAGTAGACAAATAAATCACCAGATGTTAGAGGAAAAGGCAACATAGCCTGTGACCAGGACACATCTTTTACCTGAGAAGCAGCCATTTGGTCCTGGTCCTGGTCCTGGTCCTGATCAGGGTCTGGGATGTTTTCTCAGCTGACGATATGCTGAGGATCACAGGATACGCCTTCAAAGAAGTCAACACAGGCTCTTAATCAGCTCACCACACGCTCACAGTCAGAAGAACCCGGAAATGAGGAAAAGGCCACCCCTCCTGGCCTTGGTAACAGGAGAGAGTGAGGAGGAATGAGCTCCTACATGGAGACCACACTGTGAGGGGTTTTATTCTGTCTTCATGTGTCTCTCCTTCAAAAGACTTCCACAAACTCCTACAGAAATGAGAATGTGAGCTGCTATCCAGAACCCCCCAAACAAACAGAGCACCCCCTTACCTCCCCTGAACAAGCCTGCTCCCCACTCTCACAAAGGCATCCTGTACCCCTCCTGTTAATCCCTGTCTTCACCTTCCAATCACCTGGAGGCCTTCAGTAACCAATGATGCCCCACCCAGAGCAGCTGTCCACCTCCATGGGGCAAAGTGCCCTGAGGGCATTTCTTTTTTCTTTTTTAAAAATATTTTATTGATTTTTTTACAGAGAAGGGAGAGGGATAGAGAGTTAGAAACATCGATGAGAGAGACATTGATCAGCCGCCTCCTGCACGCCCCCTACTGGGGATGTGCCCGCAGCCAAGGTACATGCTTTACCGGAATCAAACCTGGGACCCTTGAGTCCCCAGGCTGATGCTCTATCCACTGAGCAAACCAGTTAGGGCCTGAGGGCATTTCTTAAAGCTCTTCAGGGGATCTGAGAAGACCCAGAGGATTTATCTCAGGATGGTTTTAAATAATAAATTAAGTGTCAAGACATAGAAAAAGTAAATCCATGGAAGAAACACACACACACCAGGCACAAAACACCACAGCAACAAACCTAAGGCTTCTAATATTCCTTGAAAAAAGCATCAGATAGTGACAGAAACAGGTCACCTCCTCGTGGCCATCCCGGGAAATGGGGACCCATGACCAACAGACAAGTCTCTACACTCTGAGTGAAGAAAGGTTGCAAATGGAAACAAATTATTATAAATTCCCAAGCCTTACAAACTGGAGATTTGTCACTCTCATTCAATCTGTATAACTAAAACAATTCAGCTGTTAAATTAAATATATAAAGCCATGGGTAGGCGGCAAGACTCGGTGGTTGAGATCGGATCTCTGAACCAGAGATCATGGTAAGATTTCTAGTCAGGGCATGTGGCCAGGTTGCAGGTTTGATCCCCAGTGAAGGACCCGCAGGAGGCGGCTGATCAATCATTGTCTCCAGCCATAGATGTTTCTATCTCTCTCTCCCTCTCGTTGTCTCACAGAGATCAATAG